CTCATCCTCCACGTCACCGTGGCAACACCAAACAACCACCCCCGTTCCTTCTGCGTACATGCATTTGCAGGTCTGGACCAGGCAGTGCAAACTTGTAGCAGACTTTCACGGATGCATCACCAGAGATGTCAGAAACTTCAACCAATGATCCTAAAAGGACCATCCATTGTACCACCCTACAGTTATTTAAAAGCACAGATATCTACATTTTCAAAGACAGGCACTTTGGAATGGGGGCAGCCCTGTAGGAAACAGCATGCATAACCATTGACAATTTATTAATTTATATAATTATCTACATTGTGCTACCACAAATCCAAGACCAACAAATTGACTTCGGACTTTTCAGGATTACAGGGTGATTAACTCCAAGGTAGGTGGGCATACATAAGACATTGTATGCGAATTAACCCACAACCTACTGATACCAATGGTACAAAGACATCTCAGGGCAGGAAATTCATCAGAAAAAGTCCTCCCCAGTGTCTCACACAAAAAGGAAACCAGTTCAAACACACAGACTTTTTGTAATGTGGCACCAGTTCCGAGGACAGATGTGCCAGTTTTCATTGTGGCTCAAACATCTCTTAATACAAGGGTAGTTAATGGAGATGCACTCGTGAGACATGAAATAAAGGCCATTGTAAAGATGAAAGTAAGCACCCATCTGACTGGTTAATAGAAAATGATGGACAGTGCAAAAAAACTCAAATCCACAAAAAAAGGCTAAACCATACATTTTCTCTTATGTAGTAGTGGGCTTTTCTCGATTTAGTAACAGTATTTGTGTGTATCACCTTGCTGCAAAGATATGTTTCTCTTCAATTGACTATAGCAGTTAAACTCAAATCAACAACAGGAAACTGAGATGCCACTTACTGTGGATATATGGGCGTTCTTTATTTTGAGGGATACATTCAAATACAGTAGTAACAATCCTTTGTTAAATGTTCATAGTGGCCAAAATTTAACAATGAAACAATATTTGATTTGATTTTTATTAACATTCAAATCAAATCAATCAATTAATGGGCATTGGTCCAACTGGAAAGTTCTAAGGCAGGAATGTCACTGAAAGAGCAGAGAAACTGGGAATGTAGTCTTTTAAGCTGCATGAGGGATCTTGCAGAGACTGTTGCTGTTGTACCCTTAAAGAACATTTTTAACCTGGATTGCTTCATAGAAAATACTCCGTTTTACAAATCAGCAAAAAAAGTCTTTTTAAAAAAAAAAAAAAACTAAATGCATGAAATGACATGTCAAAAACCCACAGGTTGCTTTGGGTCACACAAAGCACAGGAACGCTGCAGGTTGAAATAAAACATTGCATTGTCAGAACAGTCAACTGAGACTCATGTTACACGTTTAAAATGTCCCAACAAAAAATATATCTTGTGCTCATGGTGCATGAGAGAGGCCGTTCGTGCAGAATGAGTTCTGCGGCCCAATAAATTAAGCTCACGGCTTTCACTTGAGCTTGCAGATGCCCATTCCTTGACATCGGCACGACTAGAAAGGCAGAGATGAAATGGCAGGGGGCCATTTTCTTCTCCAAAAGCACGCTGTAGCCGTCTTCCAAAGAGCGTGAAATAAAAGCAGAAATGACTGGAGTGGGAGACAGGAATATCTCCACAGCCCCGCCTTGCTCTCTCGGACAGACCTCTAATTTTAGCATTAGTGTTGCTGCAACAATCTGAGATACACAGGGGTGCTGGTGGGACACAAATTCCCCCCACCCTATTTACCATGTCCCCCTGAAATATACCATACATGCCACGAGCATCTCAGAAATTAAGACCTTCATGTGTCAAGCTAAGCATCAACGCTGACTTAACCATCTGAGAGTCCCTACCTATAGCATAAAAAAATGCAGGTGTATTGAAATAAGACGCTGCTACACTTAAGTGTTGCTCTGAACAATAGGTTAAAAAAAGATTTTTTTTTTTTTTTTTAATAAAAAAAACCCCAGACAGGGCTGGAACAGCAGAATGGTTAAATTGAACAACAGGTGCCGAGAGAGGGTTGCTGAAGGGTTGCCATGGGAGAGGGATAATGGGGGAGCAATCGTTGTACCGATAGAAATAATCGGCAGTATTTTCTATCATGCCGATCCGACGCGCCTAGTTACCGTAAATGCCAGCCGTGGCTTTTTCAAAGTGGTTTAAATTCATTTTTATACCCTCCAGCTTCCATCAGATATGAGCTACACATCCCTGCCAAATTCATTCCAAAGGCAAACTGACCTTTTTAGACATAGAGGGATACAGAGGGAGTATTGTATGCGAATTAAACCAAAAACAAAATCGCCCAGGTGTCCCCTGCTAAGGAAGGTGCACTTTATTTGGGTAATAATCACATGATATGCTGTTCTTGTATACACTGATGACCCTTCTAATAGAACAGACAAATCCCAATGGAAAAAAACAGACAGCGATATAAGAATCTTCTTGGTATCAAGCTGTTCTTTAAATTTGGTAAACAACCAATTTTTCCCACTGGTAAGCTAGATAAGTGCAGTAAAATGTCAAAATGCCAAACGGGTTTAATGCCCCTCCCTCCAAATTTTCGAAAACTGTAAATTATCCTTTGCTTACATAGTACTTTCATCCCCTGGCATTAGCAGAAAAACGTAAACATTCACTGAAAATGAATGTCGATTTTGAGAAACTAGGTTGAAGATGCCAGTAAACCGCAGTCCATAGGAGGTGCAGGGGGATCGTTGGCGCTGCCAGAGATCACACAACCTTAATTACAGAGCCTAGGCGCTACATCAGCAAATAAAGCGTCCTTGTTCATCCCCCCACCCTATTAAAAGGATGGGATGGTTTGAAGAATCGGCGAAAGTGGCGAAGCAGCCCTCCGTGACATCGCAGTCTCCGACTGGAATGCTGCAGTGCAACGCCGCCATCTTAACTTCTGCCCTAATACATCTTTCTCCTAAACGCGTTTAAAGGGGTTTAACAGCCCCGGCGTCCCCCCTCGTCTGACGGCACCGATGTATCCATCTTATGCTCCAACCAAGTCATTCCCGATACAAAGAGACTACATGTTACCACATGCGCCACAAAAGCATACATTTCCTCCAGGAATGGCATCCACGCCATGGGGATTTAACAGAAAAAAACCACGCAGGAATGGCTAGGGGCACGTCCTTGTTATTCGGTAAATGTTTCGTATGCAACCCCTAATAAAAGCTATCAACATGAAAGATAGCAACAATAATCTGTATAAAATGTGGCAAACGAGTATATTTCCCAGTAAATCTAGGCGATCCTTTCCTCCGGTACTTAAGAGGGTTTACAGCACATCAGGGTACTAGGATTAAATATGACAGCGTCTATTTGTTGTTGCATCAACCTACAGTGCGACTTACAGCGTCCATGTCCTTCTATTCGAGAAAACGCGTATACTTCTCGTGAAAAAAATCCATATCAGCAATTCCCCTAACGCCATGCTCTAAAGCCCCTAGCAGTATAATGTTTTTCGGACGAAAAGAAGCTTTAACCGTTTTGCAACGTTTCTACAACGTTACCCCAAACGCACAATGACGTACGCTCCCACTCGAAGTCCAAAGGAAAATGTTTTTCACCACCAACAATAGTTAGGTGTCTAGTTACTAGTAATAACGCGTTAACAATAATGTTCGGCACCAATTTGGGGTCATTTATTTTTATAATGCCTTTTGATCTGCAGACCAATACAATCAGTCGCACATATTTAGAGAGATGAAAGAGCAACAAAAGAAAAACAAATATTAGATATGTAGGAGCGATGTCGCATTGACTGGGTGTAAGGGTACCAGATATAAGTATATTCTAAGCCCTAGCGCCCGCTTGTGTAGGGACTGATTATGATTGATTTCTGATCTTTGGAACATAACGATCCTCGGGTTTGAAATCGCCATAAAACTCCTGAAATGGCAGCGGAAAGGAAGAGAAAAGCAACACGGGTCGCCCAGACCCGCTCACCACGACAGACGTCTGTTTGCCCACCGTTTTCCTACCTCAACAGCAAGTGCCGAGGTGGCCACCATCATCATCAGCAACAAGAAAACGGCACGATCCCCCATGTCGTATTCCCGGATCGCCTTCTTGTCTAAATGTAGGATTTCTGTGTTTTTTTTTAACTGCGTTAAATATCCGCTGTATATAGAGCGCCTGTCCGCTTCTCGACGCCTGGGACGTGTAATAGGGAGCAGAGCCGGAGCTTGTGCGAGCTGCTCAAACGCCAGTCACCTGACCGGACAGCAAAAGAATAGATCTGAGGGGAGGGTGCAACGGGATACTGTAGAGGGGGGGGGGGGGGGTAATATCCATCTCATGTTGTAATTAAACTGAAATCTGTTATATTTACATCACTTGGATAAAATAATGTGTGCCTTTATTGATTTAGGGATGGTTATAATGTCAGCGAGGATGCATTCACATGTCATTTTCAAAAAACATGAAATTGGGGTATAGCCGTACATAAATGTAATTAGATTTAGTTAAGGTCTGCTGCCCAATCTTGCGTCCAAAATCAGCTTGTAGGGTATGCGGCTACCTACAGCGCAGATTCTACGCAGAGCTATAAATCAGCCTTTATGAACAAATCATTCAAGTGCTTAGACTGTGATAAAACTGGATGAAAGTGGTACATTTTCAACAAGATCTACCGATGACATTTAGATGAAAATGCATTGCTGGGTAGGCCTATGTTTTCAGTTCAGAGATCAGGAAAAATGACGAACCATTTTTAACCCCATTTTACGGAACAATAACTGGAGAGGTTTTTTTTTTTTTTTGTTCTGGGGGTTAATATGGGAAATTACTGCCACCTAGTGGAAACCGCACTGGTCCTTTGTTCGTAAAGTTCGATGTCTTGCGCACTTTACGCAAAGTATTGTCACCTGACATCAACAACGTACATGATACTCGTTTCATGCGTTCATGTGGGAGTGATTTAATTAGGCACCACATGTGCCGGTGTACCACATATAGATTTTTGCGTCACGTACACCATTTTTCATAAACAGTTTATTCAACATACAGAACATAATACAAACACCCAACAAACACAATAATAAAACAATTTTGAGTGATAGAACATTTTCACCGAGATGGCACAAGGGATTCTGCATATAGATACATTTTGTACCTTGGCACGCCTCTGCAAAGACAGAGATAAAAATGTATAAAACTGAATAAGCAAAAAATGTTCTATCAATATTTGCTATTTTCTGTAGTCTGAACCTGGAGAGCCAACCCTCTATCAATCCATGATAGGGCTAGGAAAACTAAAACGTTCTCCCACATTTCCAAATTCTGGGAAAGTGCAGTGTCACTGTAAGCATGTGATGAAAGTTGCTACCACAGATCAGCCTTTTAATCTTCTTGCAGGCAAGTGGAGCTCAAACCAAGTTTGTTGCAATGGTCTTACTGGCTAGGACAGTCACAGACATAGTGATGAACATGATGTTTGGATGTCCATGTAACAACTAACTCCATCAATTATTAAGAGATCTTTGAGCCACAATGAAAACTGGCACATCTGTCCTCGGGACTAGTGCCACATTACAAAAAGTCTGCGTGGTTTCATTTTTGCGTGAGACACTGAGGAGGACTTGAGATAAATTTCCTGCCGTGAGACGTCTTGGTACCACTGATATCTGTTTTTCCGCTTTTGGCTTAAAGGAGAATCCATCATTACAGGGATAGAAGACCATGCCAAATGCCAGCAAACCCACAGGGGTGCCCAATGTTGTGCCTGTACAAATATCAGTCATCAAGGATATACAGAGATCACAGAGAAGTGGGCGTCAGAGCTGTATCATCCTGGTTGCTGAGGGTACATTCATTTCAATGGGGTGGCATCCCAGCATGCTCGGGGGCCATTCGTACCAAGAGCTGCTACTTGCTGGAGTAACCGGGGTAAGGAGGTGGAGGGGGGTGGGTTCTGGGAGGGGTTGGCGTGTAAGGTGGTGGTAGAATGTGGTGGGGGTTCATCTCATAGTCGTAGCTGTAAGGAGGAGGGGGTCCTGGTGGTGGTAAGGAGAGGAGGTGGAGGAAGACAGAGAAAAAGAAAGAGAGAGAGCAAGAGAGGTCTGTCATCTCTTGAAGTCACACTGTGTTCTGCAATTTCATGGAGGATTAGATTTTTTAAAAGGGAAGTGTCACTAAAGATGGTGTATTCCAGTCGTGCTTTAGAAAAATAAATCCAGAAATTAAAGTGGTACAATAAGCATTTTTAAACAGCACACGCACTTTGGCTAGGTATTTTTCTTTAGCGTACCATTTTATGTGTTATAAATAATCTGTCTTCGGAAATCTACAGCTTTCACCTACTTAGTAGCAGTTAATATGCAGAACAGCACAACCTAGTGGTGGCACGCGGTGCAGCAGAGTAATGGGTGAGAAGTAATACTGTACCTCGGTATCCCTGCGCAACAGTGTTGACGTGACAAGCTCTGAAGACCCCCACCCGCGAGTTACGTCCGTTCTTCACGCACATACACAGGCAAAGGAAGATAGCCGCCACCGCACCCATTAGGAACACCACACCAAACACTATCCCGGAAATGGCCGTGCCCCTGTATGAGTGAAAAAAAAAAAACATTTTAGTGAAATGGTTAGGTGAATAGATTTGTATCCAAAATACTGTAATCACACACTCCATTGCTCACAAGGGTTTTGCATCTTGAGAAATTAACCGCGCAAAGCAAGACTGAAGCTGTTTCTCCATAGCACAAGTGCTAAGGCTATATTATTGGCCTTGTTATTGTTTGCTTGTGGGAGCGAAAGTAGGTGTTGATTCCCTTTGACCTGTGGATTATGACTGTATCTTTTCGCAGATCTCTGTACCGCAACTGTCAAAACAGTGTATGACCCTAAACAGAAATAGATTTGCATTTAATAAAAAAAATACTAACACAGAGTAATAGTCAAACATCCAGCCTTCTCCAGCTTCCTCATGGAAAAACTGGGGGATCCATTCCCTCTAGATGGGCCAAATAGATAAAATGATGGCGAATTGTTATAATAAGGAAGTGAGAATGCATTAAGCAACACAATTTGATGTTGTGGGGTAGCTAATAAAAAGAAATGGATGTTATAGAGCTCCTTGTTTTGAAACAGAGGTCAGATCTGGTGGATGTATATGTCTGCAGGGACAAGGAACAGCTGAGTCAACAAAGCTTCCTCTAAAGCCGGCAGAAGCTCTGCTGTACTCCGGATGCTACTCGTTAGAGGACAGTCACTCTTGGAGGACAGTGAGGGTGCAGCCACCTGAGTAAACGACCACTATAGCGCGGCGTCGGCTCACAGCCGACTAAATATTTGTGTTTCTGGGAGTCAGACCTTGAAACAGTTGAAAAGTCGTGTAAACGTGGGAGAGATTAAGCTTGGCGTGTAAAATGAGAAAAAGGGGGACAGTACGAGTGTAGCACCTACAACAGCATGGAGAGCATCTTCTAGTGTGAATGTAAAAAGCCAGGGTATATCTAAGTTGTCTCATATGTTTTAGATGGACAATACGAATAACCCAGAAGCAGATGGTATTAGTGTTTGCCTGTCAGTCACTGCCTGATTTAACCCAATGATAACCATTAAATTAATATCATCACCGACACGCTGCTTTGTAGTATATATGTTTAGCAAATCTTTCTCCCATTCTTCAAAATGGCAATGTGAGTCAGAGGAAGGGCAAGTAACTGCACAGGACTAAACATGGGAAATCTGTCACATTATAAAAATGTGACTTTCTACCTATAAATCTCCCAGATAGTGCAGCCAATCCCAGCTGGAGTGATCACTGTGAGTGTGCAGCTCAATGGCTTCTGCCTGTGATTAGAAAATTGCTGGGTTGAATCCTGAGCTTGGCAGAGTACCCACATCTCTGTTGGGCCCTTGAGCAAGGTCTTTACCCCCCTCCCCCCACACCAAAATGCTCCAGGGGTGTTGGATAAATAGCTGATGGTTTGCTCAGACCCCAAGCTTCTCTCTCACCTCCATATGTATGTGCCTTAAGGAGAGCAAGATGGGATATACAGAGGGGGAAAAAACACACTGTGATGCACTTGTGCAAATAAAAAAAAAAGCTTCAATTCATTTCGTTCTCTGAAAAGGTCAGCTGGGTGGATCCTGGAAGGTGACTGTGTTGGTGGTCCCCTGGAGTGGCGCTGGGTTCAGAACTTTCCTAATAAACAAAAGCCTTTTGTTTGCCTGATCCTACCTGCTGTTTCCACTTATATCAGAAACGACAAAGGGCCTTCTAAGCAGTGCAGCCGGCACCTAGGCGAGGGCAGGAGGGATACTCACGAGAGGACATCACCCACATATGCGTAGTATGAGCAACAAAAAGGAGGGGCTCCGTCGCAGCAGTATTCCAGACAGCTGTCGCACTGGCCGGCACAGCATCCTGCCAAACCCAATCAGATGTCTGATTAAATTACACAACAATAATAGTGAACCTCATTTTAGCCATTAAAATGTTGCTGAGTGGCACATTTTCTACAGAGAACTTTACAAGTTTAAATTAATAGCAGACACTATTATAAGCATACATTTTATTAGAGTGTGGCTCAGTAGGCTAAGCCTCTGTGCCGGTGATCGGAAGGTCGGCGGTTCAAGCCTGGTCTCGGCACATCTATCCGTCCTTGAACAAGGCCCTTAATCCCCCAGCTCCCTGGGTGCCGTAACAAATGGCTGCCCTTCACAGGCAGCTTGCGCTCACCTACAGAGAGCAAGTTGGCGGAGGCATAAAGAGAATTTTCCCACGGGGATCAATAAAGTATCAATTATTGTTATTAATTATTATAAAGCAGGGTAAGCCAGTCCCTGGAGCAACTGGAGGATATGGGCTTGATTCAAGGGCCCGATGGTGACTCGAGTGACCACAGCATTTAAACCGCTGACCTGCTGATCACAAGACATACTGCCACCAAACTGAAAGGAGATTTGACCTGAATTTAAAAAACTGGCTCTTAGTTTCTCATAACAAATCACAAACATAATTCCTGTAAGTCTGAGACTAATTCCATATACCATCAGACAGTCCACCAAATTATTCTGCACAAGAGATCTATTTTAGCTTTTTATGCTTCATTATATGCGAGATCCAAAGATTACAGATTTGTATCAGTTTAGAGAAATGCTCCTTTGTAATTTAGTGACTTAGGAGAACCACATAAGCGTAAGTAAACGACATTATTAATCTGTAATTGGGCTGATTAGGGCTGGGGAAGGGGTTACGCATGGCAGCCCAGGAGCTGGTGCTGAGTCCACAGATGGCGACAATGCCAATTATTTACAAGTGCTAGTGCTGTACTACATTGATGCGAATGCACCCGATCAGCTGGGTTTGTGGAAAATGCCAGACATCTGCGTTCTGCATGGATGCCATGGAGACGCTGGGAAAATGTGAAAAGCCTTTCTGTCGTCTGTTTTTATTTCTAGGTTATATTTATCCCATCGAGAGCAATGGGTCCACGTGGAGAAGCGGACAAAAAGCCAACTAATGAGGCCTGGAAAAGTTTGTTCCTTTGAGAAACCATCTTCACTCTTACTGGTACTAATGATTACTATAGCATGGACATAAACAGAGATAAAATTGTTAGGGGAGCATTTTGAGGAGAGGACACAAGGCAGGGGACACTGTGACTTTACCTTGCGTCATTAATGGCCTAAATGATTTGTCCTTCATGAACAAATCTTTTACGTAAACAAAATTATCTGTCACTGCACTCATTTGCTCTGTTGGTTCAATGAATGATATTTAAACACACTCGTGCTTTCCATCTCTATCTCACATACAATTAATCAGCAGGCTATGTAGAAAAATTGTCTCTGGCTGATAATGCAATAAATAGAATGTCACATGATTCACATATCCTGGATTATCCCCTGGTCACCTTAAGTGGATTGGTCATGTATGCTGATGGTCATTTATGCTGGTCTCTGACAGGACAAAAGTCTGAAACAGCTAACGTACTGCAGTAACAATTGAACACAGTGTCCACAGTGTTCCAATTCCAATGTCCCGGACAGCTGTACGAAGGACTTCTCATGCGAGCTTGTTCCACCCATGCCACTTCACTGATCAGCTCAAAACGACTATCAGAGGACTAACTGTGTCTGTTCAGCGCTTACTCACATTAGCCAATCCGTAACGCCCCCCGCCCCCCCCCATTTTAGAGAGATGGGCCAGAGCACGGTTAGTCCGACTCGAGAACGGTGCAGATGTAATGTGATCGCTAACCGTGCCCGAGTACGGAACATGGACATGACGTCATTGATGCGACTGCCATACCCATGCACACATTTACATTATATGAAATCAACCCGGAAGGAACATATCAGACATGCTGTATAGATCGTGTCAATTTCTTTTCTTATGCAAAACTGGGTTGTGAATATAGTGTGGAAGGAGAGTATTGGGGGCTAGAGCGGAGAGGGGTGATCAGTATGTATACGAATTCGTTATATGGATTTCCAGAGGGTGCTGCATTGAAGGATGGAAAAATTACACGCGAGCTCGCAACACTGTAAAATTTATTTCTGCCGTGATCAAACTCAATTCCATTACTCTACACTGCAAAAAAAGCAAACTTAATATAAGCGCCCATACGGGTTACAGCAGTTTCTTCTGTTCATCTCCCTAATAAACATAAAAACTTCCTGCGTGCTGCAATGTTTGATCATTTAACTGCTTAAAACACAACGTAACATACTAACCCGTAGATACAGTTGCTAATTTGATTATGTTAACGTATGTATACGTAGCCTGTTTCCTATATTTTAAGATCTTGCTATATCTTAAGATCCGTTACATCACTGACTTGAAGCTAGGGAGATCTAATTTAACTAGCTGACATTTTAATATTCTATAGACATGATGCGTTCAATTCTGACATAGGGTATAACTGAGTGTCGGCAGTGATTCAGACATATTCAGTCCATGGTTCTGATTCGATGGTTAGCGATGTCTAACAGTGCAATTAGTACCGGTGTTCCGTCGAAAAACACTACCTATATCGAGACGTGCTATCGAGCCTTTCTGCGCATGTGCAGTTCCACCGTTTTGGGATTAGGGTTATGTTTTAGGGGTTAGGGTTAAGGTAAGGGGTTTAGGGGTTTTGGGGGGTTAGGGTTATGGTTAGGGTAAGAGTTAGAGTTAGGATTAGGGCTACCTGTTAGCACTACGGTAGTATTTTTCGACAAGGCAGCATATATCGACAAAACACCGGTACTAAAAAAATGTAATACCGAACACTTTTCAAAAATACGGTACGACAGTACCTTTTCTTTAGCGGTATCCCGTGCAACACTAGTCTGCACAAACTCAGAGATATTTGGCAAAATGTGGGACCATCTTATTGGTGTAGCTCGAATAAATAAAAATCTTTGCGTCGCATACTTGATAAGTCTATGCGTGTCATCGTGGCCAAAACGAAAAAATAACAAAATAAATCATGAATTCCATTCTGCTGCGCGATAGCGCTTGGCTTTCTTCAACATCAAGAAGTCTCACGGTGATGACGAAAGCGTGCTCCGGCCAGGATCGTTAAAGTGCAATGTGAGCGCAGACCAGCTCGGGAGGGGGTGCAATAGTGCTAGGGCATGGTAGAAAGCAATCAGGCCTAGATAACTGCGCCCCCCACAAAGGACGGAATCAGTGGTTGTGCAATATCAGACACTATACAGACGGCAATTTTCTGAAAATCTCTAAAACTAGGTACCACACACCCATATCCTTGTGCATGCGGTCCAGTCCTTTCAGATCATACGATGTCCTTCTCTGGATTTGGAGGTGGACGATTATGGTTTATGATTTGAGCTGCTCTCTATCTGAGCGCAACAGTAATGACAAGCTGGAGTGGCTGGTGCCCCAAGGCGCCGGGTTTCCTGTTTGTGTGTAAGCTTTTGATGCCCCTACCCCCCTTTCCCCACCCTCTTTCTGGGTGGTCCTACCCACCAGGCATGCGGATTGCCCTCTCACCTCCGGTTCTTGTAGCTGTGAGCTCGGCGACAAAGGCGCTTAAGAAAGTCAGCAACGAGACACTTTCCTACCCGTGGAGACCGAGTCTAAAAATAACCCCCCAAAAGTTTAATATGTAGGGGTAACGGCTAAACTGGTTTATTAATCATACATACCACTTCCTTCAAGACACCATTTAAAATATGCATGTATTTTCGTATATTCATCTGTAAATAAATAATGTATGAATTAAGATGCTGAATAAATAATCCTCACAAACTTTCCTCTTGACAATGCAGAATGCAGCCTAAATTCATAGGCATGCTTCTCCAGCCGCTGTAAATCAATGAGAAATTATAGGTCTTAAGATAATTATACGTTTTAAAAACATCAAAGTCCGCATGTAGCATCGCAAAGGGAGCCGTTAAGAAATGACCTTATTGGAGGTATGTTTATAAATATGAACAGCTAGGAGTGGAACACAGCTTGAATATTTACCAGCGTTTCCCAGAATAGCGGACAGGTTTTATAAACTTAGGCTATACCTTATATTCATTTATTTGGCGCCGGGATGGAGAGTCGCATTGATCACATTAATAGGAGCGTCAAAATGCCTACAAACACATAAACATCGAGGACACTCGGGCTTTCAACCGATAAACATTTCCTTACCAGCCAAAAGAGAAACCAGCAAGGCGTCTCTCAAGAAGGTCCAGCAGCTGCGGGCGCCCCGTGACCCGGGTCTTACCGCACCGATCCCCCGACTGTTTTCCATTTTCCTATTGTACCGTGCTTTTGTGTTTTATTAAAGTCTCCAATGCTGTGTGTCGGCGGCGATTTAGTATAAACCATTCGCATAAATAGAAGTGGAGAAAACTTCTTAAAACCTCTGTAAAAGTTCTACAGGCGCAGATTGTAACGGCACAGAGACTCGCTTCACATCCTTTCAAATTGCGGCACAGTGTGTCCGGGCAGCGTGCTATGCTCTCCGAAAGGTGCTTCTCTTTCCCCCTTTGTTTTCTTCCTCCCCGCTTTCTCTGACGATCAGTCAGTATCCTCCTCCCCCTGCCGCTATTTTCTCGGATTACCCTGTCCATTGCGGGGAGGCGCATATGTGCGCCGGCTATTTCAGAATATTATTTCAATGTCACGACTGTCGGTTCAAATAGGCACCATTGTCCGGCTCAGGACAAACCACCCACGATTCTCCCTCTTGCAGAACTTGCCCATTACGGTGTTTATCGCCGTTAGAGCCATTGTGTGCTCCAAAGTATGGTGTAGCCTGATGTTTTTGTACTTCTATTTTTAGTCTTCTTGGCAGAAATAGTGCACGAATTTTTCGTTGAGGGGAGAAGAGAACAATAATCACTGAGTTAATATATTTCATTTCAGAATAGCACAAAAAAGACGCATCTTCCGGACAGTAAGATATGTCTTTTTTGTTGTCCAGGAACATATCGAAATGATTTTTTACACGTATCCAAATCAGTTTGAAACATTCACGTGTAGCCATAAATGTCTGTCTGTCTTTCGGAGTTTAGCCAAAGGCTAGCTTGTACTAAAAATCATTTCCAGGTTAATGTGTTTCTGAAGTTTGATCCAGTTATGGTCTTCATCATGGAAGACTTGTGTGTGGCTCAGTAGTTTTGGAGGTTGGTTGGATGGGCGTTGGTTCATTGTACCTGTGGTTGGATGGTCATTGGTTCATTGTGGCTCTGGTTGGGTGGGCATTGGTTCATTGTGCCTGTGGTTGGGTGGGCATTGGTTCAAATCTCCAAGCTAGCAGAGCGATTTCACTATTAATCCCCAGTTTCTCTAGAGACTCTCTGATCTTGCATTCTCAGTTGTATTTTTTGTAAGATAAAAGTGTCTGTTAACTAAATAACGTGACAAATTTAAGGTGGTGACCATTCCTTGCTCTTGCTCCATATGGATGTTTTATCCATGCTGTATTAATCACTAGTTGAACCCCAAATCCAATTGGTTTTTTTATTGTGATTTGCTGAGTGATATGTAATCATATCCTGTAATCCCTCCCATTGCATATTTCCAAGCCACACCTACTAATAAGTATGGTTAGATAAATGGAGTAACTATGCATTCCAGGCTACTTCGATGTAACACGAAAGAATCAGAGGTGCTGACTAATTTCAGCTGTTTTACTCTTGCCATTTCCTGCTCACTTTCCCAGTTTGGAGTAACCTAATGGTGCATCACCCTTCTTACACAATTGGCCAAGCTCTTTTCCTTTTGGTGGCTTCCAGGACAAAGGTAATGTAGCTATAACCATTCAGCTAAATATCTTTTACTAAAAGCAAAAAGCATAATGCCATTTCTTCTGGTCTTGCCTTTTATTTAAAGAGTTCATCACCGGTTCTTTTCACTAACGCCCAGCTGCAAACGACATTTGCAGACTTGACCTCTTCACTTCTGCTTTTATTGCTGTTCCTGTGCTGCACCATTACATCATCGCTTTGGGAGATGTGACAAGCTGAGGCCCAGGAGATTGTGTTGCTCCTAGGTAGCCCGGCGGCTCACTTGAGAATCTCTTCTAGTAAAACACCACAGCGTCACACAGCCTGGCATAAATTAAAGCAGAGAAGAGACAGTTTTTGTAATACCCATTGTTTTTCCTGTTTGATTGCAACTATTTGTGTTGTGTTGCATGGACTGTTTTGACAGAAGCTTGTAAAACAAAAGCAGGCAGTTTTTGCTTCACGCATCATGACTGTTGGGTGCACAGGCTAGTCCTCCAGCTGGTCTTTCAACTCTTTTTTGACTTCAGGGGGAATATGGGAAGAGTATTATCCCCCGCGGACTGAGGCTTCAGCTCATCGCCAGGCCGTAAACGTGCACTGTAATTACGGGACCCCTGTCTGTCTGCTTGGCGCGGGATGGATAATGGATCTCAGACGGGTCACGGCCTGATTCAGGAGTTTGCTGCTAACCAGCTTCACTGTGTGAAGCCCACGTATCCGAAATTCAATACTGAGAAAGTGAACCAAATGCCTGTCAGGACCTCAGCTGGTCTAATTAAGCAGTAGGGCAGGAGGAAGCCTAGCCAATGTGCATGTTTATGATGGTTTGGGTGGAAACAGTATCCAATAGCAATGGGAGAAATTAGACCTCATCACCCATGCTGGGCAGCGACCACTGTGTCCTGTCAACCACTGTCTGCTTTAATACTATGGAAACCACTGAATGTGAACTGGGATCCATCCTGTCCGTGATTGACAACACCCAATAATCCCACACACGGTGGGTTCAAAAGTCTCATATCTGTCCCATCACTAATAAACCCTCTTCCTCGTTCCATGTATCTGAAACAGTGATTTTAATTGGGACAGTGATTTGTACCCTCCGAATAGCAGATGTGCAATACTGGGATATGGATTCCAGGTCACACTAAAGATGCAGCTGAAGTTTTGATTGAGTATGAGTATAGAGAGAGCATCAAGAGCAGTGAAATTGACAAGAAATGAAACACTAGCCACACAGGTCATTGTGATAGTTTATTCATAAACCTAGAATCATATATATATATATATTTATATAATATTGTATAAATACTCTATACATTCTACGTTCTTCTGTTATTTTAATGAAAGTAACAATAATTATCAAATAGCCAAAAAATTATGATTATATTTTCCAGACTGTACAAAAATAAATAGCGTTTAGATATTCTATAAAAAAAATCCTTCTCAGAAGGTAGGAGAGATTTACTTATGAAGTATTAAGAGAAAAAGTTACTTGATAGACCTTATCCACACATATCAAGCACAAGTACACTCACCACACACACATTGGCTTTGTTTGTTACAGTCGAGTTAGTGATCAGGACAAGTGTGTCCCATAGGTTTGCAGTTGTGGGACTGGAGATGTAGATTAGCTGAGCAATACGGCAAGAACAACAAAAACAGACGACTGTCCAGACAAACATTACAGACGAACAGAGCAACCACTCGAGCGAAAACAAGTAACTTCACATGCACACACAAGCAAAAACTCAGCTTCCCTCCCTGTAACCCCTGAATGCAGTGACTAAGTGGATTCAGACGGAATTAAAAAGTACTAATGCATTGAAAATATGTAGCGCTGTTTCCTAGTAACAAATACAAAGACAGTCTGGATAGCTGTGTGTTTGGGGTGAGCGGAAATATAGGGTGGCTGGATCCTCTGGGTGAGACCTGACTGCAGAAAGGAGGTAAAGCACCAGGCAAGGGAGGGTGTGACACGATTGTGGGCCCAGATAGCTTCATCTCCTCCAGGGCGTAAGTTCTTCCGGAAAACCTCAACCTACAAAACTTTTAACAAAATGCTAAAACTAATTCTGTCCAGTCCAGCTTGAACAGAGTAGACAAACACACACATGTAAATGTCAATATCTAAAGCAGCATGCTTGAGCAGCAATGTGTCTCTCTCTCTCCTTTAGGTTCTTCCAATAGAAGGGTCCACTCCCACCACAATCACCGCCGGGCACTAAGGCTACTTTCGCGCCTTAACACCAATGGCCACAGTCGTTTCAGCGGTGTGGTTGTCTCTCGTGGACAGACTGATGGTAACTTAAACACTGTTTAAAATGTAAACATTTTCCTCGAGGGTGTAATCTTCCTGTAGGCTTAGACTGAACGTTCACGGTCGAGGGTAAAGGACAGGCGTCATCTTTTTCGTTATCTTTCTGGAAATTCGTTTTTCTTTTTGCTCAGTTAAGTCTAGCAGGGTCTTTGCCTACACATTTCCAGCAGGGGTCTGGGACGGGCTTTGGGGTCACAGCTCTCGTAGCCGAGAAGCCGTCCACTGTGTGACATGCAGTGCAGTGTACGTTTACGGAAACTCTGCCCACAGGTCTTGGAGCACGGAGACCACATCCCCAGCTGCCAGATGGGGCAGGGGTGGGGGGGGCAGGGGCGAGATATGGGTGGGCGCAGCTCCACTGGGCACTCAGACGAGGGGCGGCCACGGGAGTCCAGGCAATCCACGTTGCGCTGCTGAAGACCCCCGCCGCACGTCAGGGAGCACTGGCCCCAGTCGCGCATCACCCACTCAGCACTTCCTGTCTCCTGGATGGCATTAATCGATGGCCTCCTGCCTACTGGCCGGGGGGCGAAGAAGGTCAACTTGATCCGGGGACGGGGCGAATCGCCCACGGACAGCACCACGACAGTGAGGGGCTCCGGCAGCGGGCCGAAGCTGCGGATGCGCTCCAGGGTGGCGGAGGCGCCGCTGTAACGCAGCAGCGCCCCTCGCAGGAAGATGTCGGTCTCCAGTGTGGTCAGCTTATAATCCCCGTTGAGCAGGTAGGTGCCGTCCTGACGGCGCAGGGCCAGGTAGCTGGAATCCTGGTGGTGACCGTGCTGCTTGATGTCTACATGTGTAGCTCCGGCAGGGATGACCACCACATCCTGATAGCCAGGACTGAGAGACAGCAGAGTATTCAAAACCGGCATCTAGACAACTAAAAATTATACAGCGTACACGCAAAAACAAGCACAGGAACACACACGAAAGCCATGTGGAGCTCACCTGGCGAACTTGAGCGATCTTGACACCTTCTTACAGGTAGAGCCATCCCCGCCACAGACGCCGCACTTGTCGAACCGACGGTTCGAGCCGATGACCAAGTCGCAGCCGGCTTTCACGCACTGGCCTTGCACACACACTGATGTGGAGTCTGGGCTGCAGGGAGTTCCGTCTGCCACCTGGGGGCAGCAGAGAGACATTCTCTGTCACAAGCTGGTCACTTTGCTGTGTAAGGAAGAGCATGTTCAGGTAATTTCAGGACAATCCCGCAGTGCTGTGAAGTTCCAGTGTCCCACCTTAGGCTTCAGGATGAAGAAATAGCCGGTACCCTTGGCCCGACAAATCAGCTTGCAGCGGTCCTTGGGAGAGACCCCAGCGTACTTGGGGACCCATTCTACTCCACCGCTAGTCCCGAATGACATGCTGGAGGAGATGTCGTTGTGGGCCAGGCACTGCTCCTCACGGAACGACAGGCCTGCAGAAAGAGGGAGGGGGAGAGTGTGGGAAGTCAGGAAACCTGTGCTTTAGGTCCATAAACGGTGACCACATGATTGCCGGTCATAACACGAGCAGTGCAGACAAGAATGACGATGACATGCTGTATAGCCAAGTAGCACCCTACATGATTTATGTTTCTGGAATGTTCTATGTGAAGTTTTGAGTGGCTTTGCTTCAAAGCTGGGCCAGTTGGGGCTGTATGCAGGCACCGTGAGGGGTCCTCATTTACAAGGCTGCTCAGTCGTTCATTTGCGTCGCCAGTTTTCCCAGAGGCTCTCATCACAGGTTATTGTTAACCCAAAGTCCCCTCTAATTCCACTCAGAATTCTTACTTAATTAATGGCATTTTGGCACCAATGTTTGAGGTCCTGAAGTACCACTGATTATCTGTGAGGTCTTGGGGAATCACTGCCGCCACTCAGGCCTCTTACCGTTGGTGTCGGGGCAGGGCTCCGTGTTGCAGGAACGGTATTGGATCCTCTTGCCCTCGCAGTACTTGCCCCCATTCTTGGGAGTTGGGTTGTCACAGTCCCGGAAGGAGTACTGCACTCCTCCCCCACAGGTCCGTGAACAGTCCCCCCAGGGGCCCCAAATGCCCCAGCCACCGTTCACGGGAGTCTGCGAGATAAAGGGACAGAGTCACATTAGTCACATGGGAAGAAGTGTGTGATAATCTCTACTGCTAGGTATCAATACCCAAGTAACAACCCTGAAGTAGTGATCCCCAAGTGACAATCCCCACGTGTCTACTGCGACCCACCTGGAACTCTGTAGCCTTGCTCTTGTGCAGGCATTCACCAGCCAAGCACCACCTGTCCTTCCCACATGGGGTGCCGTCGGCCCAGGGGAAGCTCTTAGTCTGGCAGACCAGGAGCCCCCCCGCGTTGTTGACAGTACACCACAGAGCTGCGCAGGTCGTGTTTGCATCTGGGCAGTGTTGGGACTCCTCCCCAAACATCAGCCGGCACTGCTGGTCCACGTCGTAGATGGAGCCCGGCAAGGCCTTGGGCAGCAGCTCAGCCTTCTGTGGCTTGTCCAGCAGACAGTCGCCTAGGAGTCAGAGGTCAGGGGTCAAATGCTGTTCCCGTTTCACCACTGTCCATTTACCTGTCGTGTGGTTGTGACTGTGCTCTGCTCTCACCGTGGCCGTTGTCCAGGAAGGAGGTGATCCTTAACGCACTGCACGGTGACCAGGGCTGCTGGTGGTTCAGGTTGTACAGGGTGGACGACATCATGAGGGGGGGCAAGGTGGGGTCATTAATGCTAGTGCACTGCTTGGCGTCGTCGTGGAGCATGTTTAACACATGACCTGTGGCATCGGGAGTTAGAGGTCAGCTTAGCATCTGGATGCGATTGAGCGCACGTGTGTGTAAATGACATTTAAGATTTATCGGGAAAAAGGGAGAAAACAAATTTTAAGTTAGATTTATTAGTGCCTTAGGCTTTTGCTGGAGCTGTGTGTGTGTGTGTGTGTGTGTGTGTGTGTGTGTTTACAGAGCTCGCCTACCCAGCTCATGGGCCACAAAGAAGGCCGTTTGCAAGCCATCATCCTCTACGATGGAGCAGCTTCTCTCTGGGTCGCATGCAGTGCCGACATCCGCCATGCCCAGGGTTTCACAAGAGTGGGGGCCACAAAGATCCTACGATGGGGTGGGGAAAAGGACCACAGGGTCAGCTGACTTTTCTAAAACAAGCAATACTATTGGCTGTGGACGCTCCATTCATCAGCCTAAGCAGCCAATCGGACGTGCGTGTGCGCGCGTTCGCGCGCGTACCTGTTTGGTGAAGAGTACGGCGGTATCGTAGTGCTCCGGGTGCCGGTCACTGGGCGGGTTGTGTTGCCGCTGCCACTTGCAGAAGTCGCGCAGCGTGAGCGCGGCGTTTCTGGACACGTTGGGGCCGTGCTGCTCATCGTTCACCACCAGCACCTTGACCACAGCCAGCGTGATAGAGTTGTGGATGCTGGGGTGACGGTAAAGGCGTGCCGCCACCGCCATGATGGTCAGCAGGTACGGCTTAAGCCTCGCACCGTGGAAGTCCGCCATCAACTTGTCTGCTACCAGCAGCAATTCCACGTAACGCGGGGTGGAGACGAAGCGACGGGACCGGTGGTGGGCTGGAGGGGAAATGCAGGTCAAAAAAGGTCATGCTAACTAATTAAGGAAATAGTTAGACTTTGCTACATATCTGAAAATAATTTATGAAATCTGTATTCGGCTATTGATATAAGGTCTGGCCCTTTTTGAAAACTGAAGACCGGCTGAAGACTAAGGAAACTCCTTGGCATATGGTTTTTATGACATGAGTCAGCGTTCACACCGCCTCTGAATTTGGCAGCCTTCCCGAAGTGTGCAGAAAAAGAGACGAAAGCCAAATACCCTGCTAGAGAAAAAGTCCTCCCTGGCCAGCAGATACCAGGAGGAGAGTAACACGTCTTAACTTCGCTAATTCGTCCTCCCCTCCCCTTCCCTGAGTGACCCCACCCCCCCTCTCTTCCCATCGCTGTGACGAAGCTAAACTTTTCATTTTAACTCTCCGCGACCCACTGAGCTGACCTGTTTCTTTTCCCGACATTAATAAGTATCCACACGATTTTCACGTTTTAGGAATTCAAAATACTCTGACTAAAAGCTGCCTTGGTGATTTAGAGAAAATTATATTTATGCATACAGCTACATGCAATTTTAATGCATCTTCACCTGGATTGACGGATCTAGGAAGATTTAAATGTTTGACAAGTGGTCTTATGAACTATGAATTTATTACATCGGCGAATATTTGCCGTTTCCAGTCGTCCTATAAACAGAATTCCGGCACAAGCAAGGATTATACGTGATATACGATTCTATTTCTAAATGTAGGCCTATTAATGATAATGTTGCCTACTTTGTGTATGATGAAAATGTAGGTTAACAACTGCAAATGAATGAAGCCAGTTACGATTGTTGTTTCCACGTCACAACTTGTAGGTAACTTGCAGCTATTTCACTAGATCCAAATAACACTTAAAACTGTTAAATGGGGTTGGAAGACAGAAATACCTTTGTGGTCGGGGGCTGCGGGGTCCGCGATCACACCCTTCTCCTTCCTAAGCGGCTGCCTCTCTTCTTCCTCGTTCACCCCGCACTTGGAGCCGCCGTCTTCGGCATGCGGCTTCCGACTTTTGCAGCGTAGGATGTGAAGGCTGGAGTCGGAGACGCCGGAGTCAGTGTCGCTGTCTGGCTGGATGAAGCACTCCTCGCCGTCAGCGTAAAAGCCGCCCTTTAGTCCGTGGCACACATTGAGCGCCGCTGCCGAGTCAGTTTCTCCATTCACCTGGCCGGAGAAAAAGCACCCAGCCATAGCCCTGCTGTCCGATACTCGCTGAGTCTCCGGATCCGGGCTCTCAGGTTGCCCGATCATCTGGAAGACGAACCCTGTAGCCAGGAAGGTCTGATCCGTCTCCAGGTCTAAAACTATCCGCTTGCCAAAGGCGTCCAGTTGGTAGATCCGTCTCTCCCCGACCTTTTCTCTTTCCTCGTTGCTATGAGTCCGCGGCTGTACGGTCTCGTCCTTTGCCTGGGCCGGGTAGAGTCGCACCGGCACCACTGCGCTCTCCATCCAGGCACCATGTGCTGTGCTCACGTACAAAGCGGCGAGCCAGCCAAGGGAGATGCAGAGAAACGACCTCATAACTTTACCTGATATTCTAGATGGAAAAAGGGAAAAGTTTTACGCGTTCGTCTTCAAAGATGCAATGAAAAAACCCCTTTAAGTGAGTTTGCAGCTATTCAAACAAAAATATCACTGCCTATGCAAAACACAAAGTAAAAAGTTTAGATTCACGCAAGATGGATATCCACTGTAAAATTCATTTGCATATCATCAGCCAGTGTAGTAGAATGTCAGGATTTCAATATGACATGCTGTATATGTTGGACGGTCACTATTAGTATCTGGTTTTAAAAAAAGAAGCTAAAATCCAACTCCGGTCGTCGGATAATTCAGGATCTGTGTGCTGAAATGGGATCAGCTTTCCCCTTGCGCCCTAAGATCTGTACTCTTCGGTTCCCTTAAATCCTGCTCCGTCCCAGCTTGCTATATATCCCTAAGACTGGGACCACCCCCTTCCTGAGGACCCTTTGATCTCCCAGCGTGCGCAACCAAAACGCAGTAGAGAGCTGGACCCTGGCCACGATAATCAATCATAGTGGAGGGTGCTTGGCTGAGAAAAAGTCTTTTTTTTCCTCCAAATAGTAGGCGGGGCAATCCCTTTCTCCGCTGTCCCGCCGCTCAATGCATTTTATTCAGAGCCTTAAATAAATCCCATAACTTAGTCTTCAGTAACTCCTGTGTATGCGTCACACGTTGCCGCTCTTCACTGTTCCGTCTATACATTCAGCCCATAAAACTGATTTTTTGAGCTGAATTAACGGGTTTCTTTCCCCCGGCACTAAAGCGGAGTGAAACACTGCTGAGTATAGGCCTATTGACTAATAGTTGAGTCTGAGACCGCAGTCGATGGCTGTAGTTCTTACGCAAAGGGAAGCGGGGCGGTAGAGGCGCACCGGCCCGTAAGTCCCCTTTCTTTCCAAAATATCGCCTAAAAGCCTTCATCGGCTCTCCTCTGTCCAGTTAAAACTTCTACTGGGTGATAATGGGCAAAAGTCCTTGACACATATTAAGAATCACTTTGCACGCCATGAATACACTGTAATTTGATATATTATTAATATGTGTTTTTATGCTTGCGTGGGTTAAAAATAGTGAAGCCAGCATCAGTGTTGTGGTAGACAGCATAAGTTCCAAAACAAGAACCTCTTCCTTTTATAAGCCTACATGTATATATTTGTTAAAAACCAAACGTTGTTTGACCATTAATGAAGTTATTAAACCAGGTATGTTGCTATTACCATTTATAGAAAGTTTAAGGGTAAGTGGTAGAGAAATTTTAAAATGTGAAAATTACTTAAAATGTACTCCCTGTTAATAGAAAAATACACAAAAGTTCATAGCTTAAAATAATTTTTCAAAATAAGAAGGCACGCTGATACACCTCCTTAAAATATACCTTCTTCAGTGATATATTTGAGATTGTCAGTAGAGACTGCCATTTTCTGAAGAGCGGAAGAGGACTATAATTGAAGGTAGTGTAACATAATAATTCATGAACATTCATAAATATTTTAATTTTTCATTAAACTGAAAACACACACACACACACACACACACACACACACACACACACACACAGACAAATACATATAACGCATTTAAATTTGGTACCAATGACAAGACAAACAGATGTGTCAAAGTCACTATTATGGTACCACCTTAAAAGTTTTCAGTCTAAGAAAAACCCCTGTCTGTTGCCCTGTTGTCCACCAGATGGCAGACTTGATGCATAGGCCTACTTAATTTTGGTACTTTAGGAAGTCGTGAGTAAGTTATCTTTCCGTTATTGTATACATCTTGTCCGTCCAAAAAATTAATACAACCATTTAAACATCATATAATAAAAATGCCAGCGCGTTAAAAAAATATTTGCCAGGATTTAGTTGCTCTAATAGGCCAGAATGTAGCCTTTTAGAGCAACTAAGGTTAATTACCTTGTTCCTTATATAGAAGGGCCCCTCCTCGGATTTAAACCGGTGATCTAAATGTTAATAAATTGTGACAACATATGCATCAATATGCAAGAGCGTATAAATCCGAATGTCTATCTTGCCATATGTGTGCAGGAGCGTGCGTGGAATATATAGCTCCATTACTGTAGCTCCAAAATCCCTACTTCATTTGAAATTTCTGGTCTACTCCACCGTTAGACAGCCTAATTAACTAATGGAGTGAACTAGTAAGGAAATACATTAAATGTATAGCTGGCGGCAGTGAAGGCGTGGTTTGCAAACCACAGGTGTTACTGCGGGCATTTACCCGTCGCTTATTTAATGTGTTATAATGCAATGCCACCAGAAGATGGCGTGTCAGCATTACATTTGGTCAGAGCGCCTGGAGTGGGTCGATGTTACGATATCGGTTTGTTCTTGCACGACATAATTAAAGGTATAGATGAGGTACTCCGCTTTTAGCATTTCATCTGAGCGATTGTGGTGCTTGGTGTAGGTGAAATGATGTTTTCTCATGCTCTTCATTTAGAAGATTTACCTGTGCATTTTCTCGCCATTGTATTTCAAGCGGGATATTTTTCTGGAACATATGACTGTTACATGGTGGTACGGTGGCCTTCCAAACTCCACTATTACAGGTTTGAACCCTACCTCTCCTCTGTGTTAATGGAGATCTCCTTGGTTTACTCCTATAGTCCAAAAACGTGTTTACCCAAACTGTTATGTCCCATTTACCCATAATGTATGTACTCTGTGATTGTTGCCCTGGGCTGGCTGGAATGGTAGCAGACCTCCTGTGACCCTGCTGTGTATAAGCAGGCGAATGATACTTGCTTAGCATATAAATCCTGTAATGTGATGTGAGGGTCTTGTCACTGTCACATTGTTATTACCCTGTATCAGTTAAATAATGACGTGATGCTTTAAACGTTTGTGTGGTTCGGATGAGCTGCCTAAGCAAGGTGAATTATGTCAGTCAATGTCGAAATTTCCACACAAAAAATAGAGAAAAGAGTGATGATTGAAATGTACATATTTATATACATACTAGAAAAAACACTATTTTCTTAAAAAATTAAATGTTCTGCACAATTGGTATTCCATGTTAAATAATTATAATAAACAACAATAATAATAAATAAATTCATCACATGGTTTTTCACATACCGGTTGTACAAACAATAAATTATAATTTCAGTGCCGTGTTCCTGTCATTCCGTTGTAGGGTCTTTTTCCCTGTGGTGGGCGTGTCAGACAGTACTTGATAGAGTGCGTGTGTGTCAGTTCAGGTATGTGGGTGTTTATTTTTGCTCGGCAGTGATCCAGGCAGTCACGTAAACCAATGTCAAAAGAGGGAGGAAAGATGTCTCATTCTCTGCATTATCTCCATTCCCTGTATTGTGTAGGTGCGTCAAAAGGTCTTCACACCCAATTAGGAGATGAGTCTAGGTGCTTGGAACCGCAACAAGAACAGGGGAAGGGATATTAAAGTTTATAGGTTAAAAATGGCCTGGAGCTTCATGCTGAGGACTCATGTACAGTTACTCGGTGTGTAGACCCTACATGGTGTTGTAGAAATTTCAGTTTCTATATTTGTGTCCAAATGCCATGAAACGGGCAGGGTTCCAATTATGAGATGGAATGGTAGATTGGGAGATGATTTCGGTATGGTCTTGGTTATTAAATACATGACACTTCTTAAGGCAGTGTCAGTATTCATAAAGAGCTTAAATGTTTGGCTAGTGTGTGTATGTGTGTGTGTGTGTGTGTGAGTGTAAGTGCAACTGATTGAATTAGAGAGGTCTTTAAAACAAATAAAACTGATTTGGGTAAAATTTCAACAATTCCAGTTTGTGTTCCCCATACCAGAATTGCAAAAGCAAGTTTCCCTCTACCTGTTTCTTTTTTTTTTTGCAAGTATCCAGGGCATTGATTGTTTTTATGAAATGGTTTTCTGAAAAGTCCTAAACAAATTGACAGACGGACAAGCGCAGAACACCAAACTTAGTGACAGGGGTGGAGGGCCCACCGCTTTTTGGGTTTCAAGCTGGTTGTGGACAGGAGAAGCTCAGCTGGACTAACACACTGCAGTATAGCAAGACTGCAGTTTGGCATGCGTGCACAGAGAAACGCACTCACAGACTCAAAGTAACCTCTGCTCACAGTCAGGCACGCCAGTGTTTCAAACTCCCCGGATCCGTGCACCATCACACACAGTCACTCATAGAAGCGCGATTGATGCATTACATTGACGTACTAAGTGCTGGAACGAAGTTGGGATGACCTTCGGATAGGAGAATCGCACACAGTCATATAAGCAGACATCACAGAGTGCCCGTGAGGAGGAGCTGCAGGGTGAAATGTTTTACCCATGTCTCGCTCCACAACCGCCCCCCCCCCCCCCCCCAAAGTCACACCCGCCATTGGTCCGTATGCAGTGAGATCCTCAGTCGATGGCATCAGGGGTTGAAACTCCAGACAATGGTTTCTATTGTAAGTCAGTTTCAGTCTATTGGTATCTCTGTGTATTCTTCTCTCATTGGTGCATTGCTTTGCCCCTGGTCTTGACGTCTTAGTGTCAGCCCATCCCACTGGAGTCCTTTTACGCTGGGGCCGTATAGTCCAGTCCTGCCCTATTGTAGCAGAGTTTGATTCCTTTGCTGCAGAGCTGTCGTCCAATTATGAACTGTTGGATCAGGATTCCGCCCCTCACTCTTGTCCAATCCGGTCATTATTTTACCCCCAGGGCTCGTCCCTTTAGTGTGTAAGCATAGCAAGTGCATAGATGGATGGTAGGATAATTTCACAGCCCTGGTCAAGAGCTCAGACACACAATGATGACATGAGTACAACAAAAATCAAATAATAATGCATTGCTGATTAATGGTAACTGTGATAATAATGGGTGATTTGATACAAAAACGAAAAAAGACTAGTGGGTGAAGTCCTGGGTGTATCCGTATGCATTTGAGCCGGGGCGGCCCATGTCTAGTTGTGGCTGTGGCCAGCCGGCTTTGGCCTCAGCACTTCTTTATCAGGCACTGTTTGAATGCAGAGGGCCGCTCCTCCAACGGGCAGCTCTTAGCCAGCCGTCCCTGTGGGTCCTTGCACTGCACGGTGCGTGTCTGCCAGCCTGCATCGCATGTTCGGGAGCAGGCCAGCCAGGGCCCTGTATCCCACTGTGGCTGGGGAGTGCGCTGCACAGGTGGTGAAGTTTGGGTCAGTAGGGGAGGTGGTCGGGGCATGAAGAAGCTGTAGCGCACGTCGAGCGGGCGCTTGGCATCTGTTGCGAGGATCTGGACTACCAGGTTCTCTCCTAAGGCCCCGGGGCCCAGACTCTGCAGGGCATCGTCCTTCTGACTCCAGCCGCTGTAGTTGAGCACCGTGCCATTGAGCTGGATGATGGTCTCTGAGGTGGAGATCATGAACTTGCCGTTGATCAGGTAATCTCCACCAGGTTTACGAAGGGCCAGGTAGGCTGTGAATCGGGGTTGATCCTTGGGCTTGTGCTGGCGGATCTTGATGTGGGTGGAGCCTGCAGGGATCTTCACCACATCTGTGTAGCCCTTGCTACAGTTGGGAGGGGGGAGTGAGCAAGAGGAAGGTCAGAAACTCTGGGTAATGGCGCTATACAGCAGACAAGCACTCAAGGTCAGAATAGCATGGAACTCCTGTGTGAATGTATCTTGGATACCATGGACTGATCCCATTATCTCAACAAACAAAACCTGGCAAGAGATACTTCAATGCACAGAGCTGAAGCCCTGCTATGAAAATACCAAAGGTCTTCAGCTACGTGGACCAAGAAGGTGTCCTGCATCATCATTGAAGGACCATCACACAGCCTTAGTGAACTCCACGCATCCTTCATGTCTGAGTGTGTGTGTGATTGCTGGTGGTCAGCCTGAGCATGTTACTCACCTCTTCTTGGTGAAGTTGCCCATGACCTTGATGCAGCTTGTACTGTTCCCGCCGCAGACGCCACACTTGTCGAAGTGCAGCTTGGAGCCGATAATGCCATCGCAGCCGGTGCGCACGCACTTCCCCCGCACACACACGGAGTTACTGAAAGGCCGGCACTCTGTACCATCAATCACCTGGACAAAAACACAATTGGTCAATGGCCTGGCCCTCTTCATCTTCATCCTGTCTTATCATCAGTTTTAATCCTCTGTTTTTCTTCAGAAACTTTATTGAGGGTTGGCTGTTTGAATGCAGAGGGCCACTCCTCCAACGGGCAGCTCTTAGCCAGCCGTCCCTGTGGGTCCTTTCAGCTCTTTGGAACCCTATCAGATGCTGGCCTGTAACTCTCTCAAACCCTGTGGAGTGTTGGCCTGTATGCCTCTGGAACCTTACAGAGTATTGGCCTGTAACTTTCTGGAGCCTTATGAATTGATGGCCTGTATCCCTCTGGAACTGTATAGGGTTTTGTTCTGTAGCTCTCTGGAACCCTGTGGAGGGTTGATCTGTAGCTCTCTGGAACCCTGGGGAGTGTTGACCTGTAGCTTTCTGGTACCCTATGAAATGCTGATCTGTAAGTCTATGGACACTAGAATGCTTTAGCTCACAGCTCATCCTCCGGAGCAGGTCAAAATAATCAAATCTGTGGTACATGATGTAAATTCAATATCTCAGCCAAAGTTTCTCAGCTCACCCTGTTGGAAAACACAACGTAGTAGCCTGTGCCCTTGGCCCGACAGGTGAGTTTGCACACATCCCCAGGCAGTACTCCAGCGTACTTGGGCATCCACTCCACAAACGACTTCACCCCTTTGGGGTCCACCTGTTGACCATTCCGTGCCTCGCACTGCTCCTGGCGATAACTCTTACCTGGGGGGTGTGGTAGAGGGAACAGCTTCATTAACAGAGTGTCTGTGTGTATGGTGTCTATGTGTGGCTTGTTTTTGCTATACACTATTGTCTATTTCTGTATGTGAAGTATATATATTTGTGCATGGTCTGATGACAGTATGGTCAAAGAGATGGAACTCACTGGAAGCAGGACAGGGCGTGACATTGCAGGAGCGGTAGATGGCCCTCTTGCCTGTGCAGTAGCGGCCGTTGTTGCGGGGGGCGGGATTGTTGCACTGGCGGTGTGCAAACTGCACCCCGCCCCCACATGTGCGTGAGCACTCACCCCAGGACCCCCATGAGCTCCAGCTTCCATGGTTTGAGATCTGAAGGAAGAAAAAAACAGCAGAAAAATGGTAAGGCTTTCTTTCAGCCAGCAGGGGGGGTAGTTGCTAAGGAAGTCATAAAGGTTTGGCAGGAGGGGCACTTCTGTTGTACCCTTGAATTTGGTACTTAATCTAATTTCTTCAATAATCATCTGGCTAAATTCACAGATAAAATTTTAAATCGTCTATTTAGAGCAATGTTACTGCATCTATAAATGAGCTAACATGACCTTCTCCAATCTCCTTCTCCAGACATCTAAGCTGAAGACTAACAGGAAGTAAACATTACAGGGTAACACAGGGAAGTGGGTGGCTTGCTAGTTAAGACTACAGCTATCTAACCAAGATGATAACCATTCTTAATCCTAGGGTCTGTGATAGCTTTGAACAAGCCATCCCTTCTTTAAAAAGTATATACCAGTTATGTAGTCCGATGGGACTATACACAGTAATATGGATGTACTTATGTACAGTGTTCTTTGTGTGACAGTAGCAAATTACACATGCAGTTCTCTCTGTCCCTTTGTCCCTCAAAAGGACAGAGGAGGTCATGGTGGGATAGAAATGACAGCCGTGAGCAGCATAGCAATCCCTCCTATTCTGCCTTTCCCTATTGACTGTATTTCACCATGTTGACACACATGTGTGAAACACACATGTTCCCTCAAACGCCTGTCTGCCTGCATGCACAGACACACACAGTCCACATATCCATATCTTCATGGGGACTCTCCATTCATTTCTATGGGCATGACTCTAATCCTAAGTATTACAACCTTAACACCTACCCAGCCCTAACCATAAAATACAATACTTGTTTAGTTTCCAGACTGAAAAAATGTCCCCACAAGGTAAAAAGTTACTGGTTTTGTCACATTGTGGGCAAATCGGGTCCCCACAATGTAATAATTACAAGCACACACACACAGTCAGACATAATCAGATCACTTCCTGCCTGGGGGTGTGGATGACACTCAACTTTTCAATAACAGCCCTTCTGACCTGATTGGTATACTGGCTTAGTGGGTAACGCAGTGCTGTATCTCAGCTGTGTGTGTGGAATTTGCATGGTATTTTCTCATGGAGTTATATGTGGAATTTTCCCCCTGTGGTTACTTCAGTTTATTCCCACAATCCAAAGACGTGAAGTAAGGCTAATTGGGGTGTCTAAGTTGCCGGTGATGGACTGGAGAACTGCAGACCCCGCTCCCCCAGACCTTGCACAGGATAAACTGCCTGGGATAGGCTGCAGACCCCACCCCCTCTGGACCCTGCCCAGGATATGCAGCCTGGGATAGGCTGCAGACCCCACCCCCTCTGGACCCTGCCCAGGATATGCAGCCTGGGATAGGCTGCACCCCACCCTCTCAGACCATACCCAGGATATGCAGCCTGGGATAGGCTGCACCCCACCCTCTCAGACCATACCCAGGATAAACTGCCTGGGATAGGCTGCAGACCCTGTTCCCCCAGACATTGCCCAGGATAAACTGTGTGTAATAGGCTGCAGCCCAGGAGAAGTGGTGGGCAGTGTTCTCACTAAAGGGTTTCAGGCAGATTGGCTTGTTCCCTCCCCCAGCCTCACCGTGTAGTGCTTCTTGCGGGTCTTGTCCACACACTTGCCATGTAGACATATGCGTCCCTTGGCACAGGGGGTGCCCTCCACTGCCGGCAGCTTCTTCGTGAGGCAGACCATTTGACCCTGGCGGATGACGGCGCACCAGAGACGGGCGCATACATCCATACCTGGGCACACTGTGTATTCTGGACCAAAGGCCAGCTGGCACTGGCGAATGGCATCGTAGCTCTGGCCTGGCAGCTCTTCTGGACCCAGCAGAGGCTGGCGGGGGGAATCCAGGAGACAATCCGCTGTGGGCCAGGAGGGAACACAGAAATGTGTGCAGCTCAGTGTGTGGGAACAGTGGGGAATATAGATTGAGAGGAACAGAAGAGTGAGAGGAAAGCAGAGAATATATAAGTAGTGGAATACAGAGTGAAGGGAAAGCAGGGAATATAAAAGGAGTGAAATAGAGAGAGGGTAAGGCAGGGAATATAGAAGGAGTGGAATAAAGAGAGGGGAAGGCAGGGAATATAGAAGGAGTGGAATAAAGAGAGGGTAAGGCAGGGAATATAGAAGGAGTGGAAAAAAGAGAGGGTAAGGCAGGGAATATAGAAGGAGTGGAACAGAGAGAGGGGAAGGCAGGGAATATAGAAGTAGTGGAACAGAGAGAGGGGAGTAGAATACCAGCTGCATTTGAATTCAGGGGCTGTTTCTTAGAAGGACGTGGCATATGAAGGTGTAGCCTTTGTAGACTGCATTCTTCAATGGTCAAATGGGATGGTCTAGCCTACTGATAATATCCTGTTTGTGTCACCAGCTGCTCACCCCCTTTCCCTTATCGCCTAGCCGGGACAGACCAACTTTACCTGTGTGTAATGAATCTTGAGATATGTTGGGCCACGACGGACACATCAGATGCATCCTTTGCAGCTTGGCAAAAGAAGGACGCATTTCTAGAGCGCATTTGAAGGAGCCGTATAAATGGGAGAGACTTGTCACACTGCTGTGATGCATTCGGTCTTTGAAAGATGCTGCCCCTGATACTCCACTTAAAAAGTTCAGCAGCTGCATCTGAGCAAGCGGGGGGAGCAGTAACCCAACCACAGCTTAAAGCCGCGGTTCCAAATCAAAACTACAGCTACATTAATTAGGGCCAAGTCGAAGTACTGCATAGTATTCTTCTGAATTGCTTAGGCCACAAGAACTTTGCTGGACTCCCCCCTCTGTCCCCTAGCCCCTACCCTGGTCCCAGTACAGCTCCAGCCTCTCCTCCTCACCCTTCCCTTCTTGCTCACCATGTCCGTCGTCAAAGAAGTCAGTTATGGTGGAAGAGGTGCAGCGGCTCCATGGTTTCGAGGCATCGATGGATGTTAGGATGGAGGACATTAGGCGCTTGTCCTCGTTGGAGCCAAAGCGCTCCTCGCAGAACTTGGAGTCGTCATGGGAGAGACCCAGGAGGTGACCTAGTGGGCCGCAGATGGGGGAAAAAAACCATAAGACATACCAAGATGTGAATATGAAACATCAACAAAACATGGTATACATGCATGGCACATGTATTCAGTTACGCCCATCATTCCCCTCGATGACATTTATCACAACAACCACGACACCTCCCCCCGCCACCCCCAATATGATCCCATGCAAGCATCTTTGCTGTTTGGAGTCTTTGTCTGGTTTGTAAGTGTCTGTTAGTAACTGTTTTTGCATTCTGTCTGGTGATCTGTATTAAGTTAGTGGAGGACTTCAGGAGTCTCGCTTTGTTGTTAGATATCTCCTGTTGCAGTTCTGCTTACACTTGTACCTGAGCATTCATTGCGCTTATGCCTAATCAATATAATGTTTCCAATGTGCTATTGGCCTCACTTGTATGTCGCCTTGGACAAATGTTTCCTAAATGTCCATCCATCCATAAATCCATCCATCCGTAACCACTTGTTCTATTCAGGGTTGCTGGGCTATAAGCACAAGGCAGGGAACAACCCAGGATGTCAACACATCACAGGGCGCACTCACACCCCTACAGGAAATTCAGTAACTCCCGTTAGCCTCAGCATGTTTTTTCGACTGGGGGGGGGGGGGGATGGTAGTACCCGGAAGAAACCCCACGATGAGTTGGGGAGATCATGCAAACTCCACAGACATGGAGCTATGGCAGAGACTCAAACCCAGGACCCAGAGGTGTCTAGCAACAGTGCTAATCACTTCACCACCATGCTGCCCCGTCTGCTAAATGCGTAGAATGAAAAATGTAAGTATAGGTCTGTTGCTAAATACCAGAGATAAAACATCTTTGATCAAACCCAAGATCAGATCTAAGGCTCAGAAACACAGTATGAGTCACCGGTGAACACCCCCATCTCCATGCCTCAACATAAACTCAGTCCATAAGCGTGGTAATTTACTGACATTTACAGGCAGTGGTTGACTCCCGCTTTACATGTGCAGTTTGTTTACAGAGGGCTGGCAGCCTCCCGGTTCATGCTTTTGGGCTGCGAGCTACTGAGAGGGCTGTGATTCCTCCTATGCCCTGGCTGCCTGGCTCTGTACTGCGTCCAGGGCTGATGTCATACATGCCGGTGGCCTCTGCAGACTCCACAGAGGCCCAAGTGTAACTAGACCCAGTGAGCTATAACCGGTCTCTAGTTCGAGAGTGCCCGGAGGGGAAGGGGGAGAGAGAGAGAGAGATGGAGAGAGAGTAGGAGACGAGCAAGGCATGAGAGACAGAGAAAGAGGGAGAGAAAATGAGGGAAGGGCAAATTAAATGAATTAGACCCACTAGAAGATGATAAATGATCCAAACTTGTTTTGGATAAGCTTTTCCATTACAACATTAAAGGAGACTTTCTGTATAAAGGAGGAAATTAGGTGACTTATCTTGCAAGTCCACTCATTTTTTACTCAATTACTGAAGAAATGTAGACGAAGGGTAGGTTTTAGAGTACAACAGCAGGGTTTGTTATCTATTTAAATGCTTTTTGTGTCCGATATCCTCAGTTATGTTTCCACTGTACAGGGCGGAAGGGCAGGGAAGGAGGCGGGGGCTGAAACAAGTGATGACAGAGCGAAAGAGTGCAGGAAGCAAGGAGGGGAAACAGAGGCATTGGGCTCCAAGGAGCCAAAGGGATGGTGACCCTCTGGAGTGTTTCGTCGCCCCCCCCCCCAGGCTGCACAAGCCCCTCCGGGCTCGACGTGGCCTGGCCTCAAAATAGCATGTAATTAAAGAGCGGGGTAGGGTTCATCATTGTAGGAGCACAACATATTCCGGGGCACAAGAGCTCCAGTGTGCAAGTGCAGCAGGGTGGGTGTGGGTGCGCTTCCCTCTGCCCTGTGCAAGCAAAGAAGGGGAAACACCCACCAGGGCGAAAAGATTATACCAACAACAGGGGCATGGGGAGGGAATGACATGCACACATGTGTGAGGCCGACTCTGCAAAGCACCACGAGTCTCCGGTCAAGGAGGTGTCTACATATACCAGACAAAGGTCACATGACTACTGAGAAACTCACATGATTAAAGCTGGCCAATGGTTTGGGCTCTGGGAGAACACATGAATGCCAAATCCAACTATAACTCATTTAAGGATGTGAAATCACCCATGTATCATAAAACACGGGATGTCAAATGGCTAGAAAATAATGTGTTGAGCTTCTCTTAGCTGGCAGTAAACCCAAGCTGATGGAGACATGACTGCAGTCTTTATCAAACACAGATGCCTGTTTTCAATTCTGTTCGAATGCGTTTTGCCTAAACTGCTGCTCTCCACACATTCCAGTGTAAGTGAGAATCCGTAAGGCTTCAGAAAGCAGGGTTAGGTTGTGTCCTAGGAGCAACTAGGGTTAAAAGCTTTGCTCGCAGGCCCAACAGAGAATGTCTTGATCCAGCTATGGGACTTGAACCGATGCCTTTCTGGTGACAGCTGGTGAAAAGCTATCGTCAGCATCTGGTGAGGATATTAGCAACAAATATTTTTTTCCCATTCTGGTATTGTTACCTGCACTTTCAGTCACCGTCCCTTTAAGTGAATATGTGTGCTGATAGTCGGGCTGGCGCAGGCCACGCCTACCTATCTCATGGGCCACGGTGAAGGCGGCGTGGAGGCCGTCGTCCTCGATCACGGCACAGCTCCGCTCCGGAGAGCAGATGGTGCCCACGTCTGCCATGCCCAGCGTGTCACAGGAGTGGTGCCCGCACAGATCCTACAGGGAGGGGGAGGGGCATGGTGACCACACAGATCCAGCAGAGGGCAGAGTCATGCACACATCAAAATAGTGTTGAGATATGACCACACAGATCCAGCAGGGGGCAGAGTGATGCAGGTGTCAACAAACTGTAGAAAAATGACCACATGGATCTAGTAAGTGGTGGAGTGATGCACACATCAACATACTGGAGAAATATGACTAGCGAGATGCAGCAGGTAACAGGGTGAGACACACGTCAACATGATGTCATGGCCCCACAGATCCTACAGCAGACCCTGGGGAACACATTGGCAAATTATAGCATAACACTGTGACCACACAGGCTACGCAGAAGGTATGCAGCCATATGACAAGGCAGACTGACCTCACGCACACCGATTCTGCAGCAGGCATTCAGATGTGCTCGGAAACACATTAAGTTAGATGTTAAGGAATGTGCGCCATATGTTTGGTTATTGTAAGACCTGCTCTAACAGGGATGGAGAATGGATGTATGTGACATAGAATGGTACGGAGGCCTCGTTTTGGTGACCCTCCAAACATCCTCCAGGAAGACCAATCAGGGAAGGCGAGATGGGCATCAGGTCTATAGATGGGCCAACAAGGTTTGGTCGTGTGTCCTCCTGAGAGGCTGAATGAAAAGCGGTTTAAGCCGTCTGTGAAGGGCTTGTCACCTGACTTTTCCCCACCCCAGGGTTGTCCATTACAGTGGGGCAACAAATCTAATCTCTCCACCTACATAACAATGAATATCAGTTCAAGCCTGGTGTTCCACCTACATCCAAAGCCCTGTACCTCCCCACTGAGCTACACTGTAGCTGGAGCAGTCACGCAAACTCCATTCTGGCCTACTTGCGCTATGTGTTAGCGCCCGCTACCATCTCCCCCGTCTTCTCCTGCCAGTTTCCCTGTGTCACCTCACCCCCCACCCCCACACTCAATTGATGTACAAACATATCCATCCAGAAACCAGGGATAAGGGATTTAGGCCTGGGGGTGGAAAGAAATCAATTAGCTACACCCAGTGTGTTTTCAGGCTAGATGCTCAGCTACCGCTAACGCCCTGAGGATACCCATATGTGACTCAGCTGACACTCATGCTGTATACCTTCATACGGTTTATGCTTTTCATTAGCTCGTAAAATCCTCCCTGTGGCGCTAAATAAAGGTGTTTTCCTACAGTTCTGCCCGTCTGGCTGTGTATTTGCCATAATACTCTGTTTGGGACACTTTGGGAACAAACTTTCCTCTGTTCCGTATCCAAGGACCAGAGCCAATTCTTAAGGCTAACATGGTATTACTGTCACAGGAAAATACAAAATAAAAAACAACTTTAACCAGTGACAACTACAGGGACACCATCACTGCAGAAAAAATAGATTAATGTCTGTAAGTCACTCCAGAATTGAACTGTGACCATTTTGTATTGTTGAATTAGTAACATGCATATTAATTGCTGCAAGTCCATTTCCATTTGCATTATTGGGGTCACAGGAATCCTGGAACCTAACCTGAAATACACACAGTGTAGGGAAGACCACAGATGGGATGCCAATCCATCATAGAGCACATCCACAATCACATACCACAGGCAATTGGAAGACCCCAATATTTCAAGCTGCATGTTTCTGGACTTTGGTAGGAATCCAAAACACAGAAGCAGGAAATTAACTATTTGAAGGACTCGTGACAATAAACCCAGAGACCAAAGTTGTGGAAATGACCCAGTTTATGAAGCTTTTCAGCGGTTACTTATGCTGAATTTCTGTAAAAATAAACAGCTGCACAAACAGGCTAAAGCTTGCAATGTGATGATGCGCATGCGAGTCATTCTGGATGTCTGTAAATAAATCAAATTAAAGACACTGCATTCTGTGAAGCCAAACATCCACCCTGCACGCAGTCGCAAATGCGCACCACGTGCAAACACAGCCAAAAAGGTTGCACAACTGTATAACAGAAGTCCATCCAAGCTGCAGCCCCATGTCAATTCCCTTGACTCACCCCAATGAAGCTATAAACTGCTTATTATGTTTAAACGAGGTCTGTACCGTGACAACATTGAGCCATGAGCAAAGTGTCGCAGATTGCATTTACGGGCAGCCGTGTCACTGGGGATAGATGCTGCAGGATGTCTTAAGTCCGAACTAAAAGTTTACAGCGTGATTGCATGCCGTATTATGGTCCCTGTGTTTCGCCTCGCATGCCGTTCAAATTCTCATAAAACACGTGAAAAAAACGGGCAGGGAATGGTGGATATTTACTCTGAACTAGGGGTCTTTATTGAGGGATCCTGTTTCACTGTATGCAGTGAAACAACAGCATTAAATCCTCTCAAACAACATTTTTTTTTTCAGTTTTGCTATATTAACCTGTTTTTATAAACAGTTAAAATCCATATTTCTCTTAATCATCAATAAAACATGTGACATGTATGTGGCAGGTTCACATATGGTTCTTATTTAATATTATACTGCATTAGCTGTGCCTGGGTGGGGCAGGCATCCCCATGACCCAAAAGTTATGAGCTCAGGTTCTGTGAGATGGTCTGGGTGGGGTCTATATCTGCACCATGTCATTTTACTCATGGTGCAGCTGCATTCAATGTATTGTTTAGAGTATAGCACTGTAGTTATGAATAGAACTGCCAGTGTGGGTGTAGCACTATAGGTAGGAGTAGAAACATCAGTGTGGGAGTAACATTGGTGGGAGGAGTAGGAGAATCAGTGTGGGAGTAGCACTGTACATAGGAGTAGGACTGTCAGTGTGGGTGTAGCATTGGTGGGAGGAGTAGGAGAGTCAGTGTGGGTGTAGCACTGTATGCTGGTAGTACGAGTGTCAGCATGAGTGTAGCATTTGAGGTGTGGGAAAGGGTGTAGCATTGTAGGCAGGAAAAAGACATGGGTGTATGGGTGTAGTACTGTGGGTAGGAGCAGAACTGTCAGTGTGGGTGTAGCATTGTTTGTACATGTAGGAGTGTCAGTATGGATGCAGCACTGTATGTAGGATTAGGACCTTCGGTATAGGTGTAGACAGCAATAGGACAGTCAGTGTTGGTGTAGCACTGTATGTAGGTATAGGAGTGTCAATATGGGTATAGTACTGTAGTTATAAAACATGTCCGCATGTATAGCAAACACACTTAAGTGTGCAGGCAGAGTACTGTTTACACCTGGCTGCTGTTTGAAAAGCCCAGTCGCTCCACTGCCACGTGGGCATGTGTTTATGCCTTAGCGTGTGTCTGGCCAGGCGTGTCCGGCGTGTTCGGAATGGCAGCCTGCAGGCTGGAGGGCCCCGCATACTGACACACACGTGCATGGCACTAAGCGCCAGCAGACGGCACAGTCAGAAGACCAGGTGCATGTGCGGACGGCCTCAAACCCGAGCAGCGAGGGATAATTCTGTCTGCTCCTGCCTGACCCTGAATGATCTTGTCACAAGTAACAATCCGTGCGCACATGCATGTATGCTAGCAAGTGTGAACACACAGCACACGCTCTGTGCCTCTTCACGGCCAGGTTGCACGCTTCCTTATTTCCAGGCACTGCTCTGGACAGCATTTCTTTGCCATTGACGTTACAGGGTTTCTTTTTTTTTACAGGGTTTTGAAGCTAATTTATTTATTGAAGGACATGCCAGGGGGCTGTTGCCGTGTTCAGTGTCACATCAGACACAGAGCATGATGCTCCTACGCGTGACGGCCCAGGCTCTGATTTCGTCAGGTTGTTTTGGGCTGAGATATCAGAAGGTGTGAAATACCCCGGTGTTCCAGTGCAAACAGGCACTGCACGGGGAGGGAGGCTCCTCCCACGACAGCGCTCGGTTGGCCAATCAGAGGCACAGACCTATGTGCGCATGAAAACAGACACACACACACACACACAGCTTGCACATGGCTCTGGCAGGCTGTGACGAAACGGCTGCCATGGAAACGGCTTCCGCACTGGGAAGGCCGCAAAGTCGCAGGTGTCTGTGCATCGCTGCTGTTTGTAAACAGAAACGGGTGATGCATGCGTGCAGACTAAGCATTCATCTGCCCTGTTGGTGTATGCAGGCTTACAGACATGCCAATCGCTCTGCCAATGAGTCATGCATTAAACTAAAGCGAGCATGTGGTGTATAAACAACATAAATGCCATCCAGGCTCTTTGCTGATGCATTTCCGTTCACTGGAAATTTTTTGTATGAGAACCCACTGTGTAACACTGCATCCTTGCTTGTTTTTACACTCTGCTAACAAGCAGCCCTTTCTCTCACAGTCAGATCTTTGTCCTCCCCCCCCCGCAAATGAAATCATGCAGTCATGCATCTCCGTCACCCAGCGACATGCAATCTAATAATTGGCGACCCCGTCACTTAGGAATCCCCCTTGTGAGGATGCTACACTATTAAAAGAGGCCTCTGTTAATCTGCAAAATGTGATTCTGTGTGTGTCTAACAGAACTGTATGTTTGGGAGGGAGTTGTATCCGTTTGCAGGCAGCTCTGTCCCTTACTGCAGCCGGCTATCAAACATTTACATTTTCTGTTCAGGAGATGCCTTTTTACAAAGCAACATATATTTTTGAGAGAAAGCAGTGTTGCACAGTTCTAGCTATTTGAGATTAAGGACCTGGCTTAGGGATGCACCTGTGCAATCACTATACTGAGTCTGGGATTTGAACCAGCAACCTTCTGGTCAATGAAACAACATTCTAACCTGCTGAGTCAAACACATTAGGGACCCTGGGGCATTGAGAGCTAGTTGTTTTTGATCACAATAAAGAGTGTGGTTGAGTTTCCAAGATCATATCAAGAATCCTCCAATTATCTCACTGCATGGCCCATTTTCAAACAGGTGCAAAAACAATGCAAACTCGCATCACAGGGTTAATGCATGTGAGCTGCGCTAAGCGAACAGAACCGCAATAACATTTCAGAATGTGAGGCTGCTTCATCAGTCGGGGCCAGGCTTGGAGTGGAGATGAAGGACCACAGTGAGGGGAAGAAAAACAGCATCTAAGCTTTCAGGGTTAAATACCACCAGCTAGCCAGCAGCTGATCTCAGCTACATCCTGCAAACCTGGGAGGAATGTGCCTGCCCAGCATGATAGGTCACATGACTTCGGCACAGCGTAATGCCCAGCGGTTGGGAGGAGAACAGATCTGAAGGGGAAACACTTTTTAATGTATGTAAGGGTGGAGGGGAGGTTTGACTTTTATGCCAAGTGCCTTCACTCCTTAGACCTCCTTACAAAGCATTTAATGTGAATGTTATCTGGCAAAGATCGTGTTGTTGCTGGAACAAGCTTGCACAGGATTAAGGCTCTCAAAAGTCTGTTACTTAGTTTTCCATACAAATGTAAGAACTGTTGATAACCGTGATTTATATTTCAGGTGAACTCTCACATAGGATCTATGGGGCGCCAAGATTTTATGCATGTTTATAAAAACAGCAACCGAATAAATAATCTTAAACGAGACGCAGATAGCAATGCCAGTGACTGTAAAGCTGATTGAGTGCAGTGTGATATTACTTTTTAAACACACCTTGAGGGAACCGACAGAACCTGTTCCAGTGTTTCACAAAACGCGGGCACTCTTAGAATCACATTTTAAACCTGTTGACAGTTGTTTACCTGCCTGGTGAAGAGGATTGCGGCATCGTGGTGATGCTCGTGGTCGTCGTCCAGCGGGTTCTGCTGATTCTGCCACTTGCAGAAACTTTTCAGCGTGGCGGCCGCGTTCTTGGAGATCTCCAGACCCTTCTCCTTGTCCGTCACTACAACCACTTTGACCACGGACAGGCGCACGGGGTTCTCGATACTTGCGTGGCCGTATAGCTTGGACGCGATCGAGGCGAGGGTCATGAGGTAGTGGCGCAGATTTTCGCCGTATTTCTTGGACATGGACTCGTCTGCCACTAAGAGTAATTCCACGTGCCTCGCCCGGGAGATCGACCTCTTGCGCCTCTTACCGGAGGTCCCGGAGAGCATGTTGGAGAACCACCACCTGCTGTCCTGCGTCGTGCTTCGCAGTGCATCCAAATCGAGATCATGCTTGTGAGTTTTTCCCTTACGACCCCGGCGCTTTTCCGTACTACCCCTGCGTCCTCTCCGGTCCCGTGTCGCGCAGCTTTCCTTCGTCGGCTCCGCCACGAATCTGAAGCTCTCCCGGCTGTAGTACTGGACCGATCTCTCCATCACCGCGTCGCCTGCTGCACCTGCCCCGTTTTCGTGTCCCTTCGCCCTGATTAGCGGCCTGACCGTGTAGCGGCGGTTGTCCACTGCAAAGAACCCATCAAAGCCGCCGCCACACAGATTGAAAAGGGCCAGCGATTCGGGATTAGAGTCCACCGTGCCACGGTAAAAACATCCGCCGTGCGCTGCTGGATGGGCACTGCCGTCCATGCCCTGCAGCACTTTCACGTACTTAGACTTGAAGTGCTGGGATACTATCGCCTCATCCCTCTCCATGTCCAGCTGAAATTTCCTGCCGTCCAAATATAACAGATATCCCACTTTTCCATCTCCGTGGTAAATCCGGTCAATGGTCCGCACGATCCCGCTAGTGCGGTGGACAGGTGCGTAAAGCCGCTCGCTTACAGGTGGAGCGAAAGCCTTGAACGCGGAGCGACTGATGGCAAAATCCGCATCCCCGGCGTGAAACTTAACGGCACACAAAAGGAATAACCTGATCAGGACCATCCTTCCAGAGACGGAAATATTTCTCCCCGGAAAAATATCGCATAAAATATGTGTAATTTATATTCCACCTCAAAGCAACGGGAAGAAAAGTTGGATAAACTTAAAAAAAACATCTCAGAGAAATGCAAGGGTTTGGTCTCTTGTGCGCACACATCGCTTTTTTATATCATGCTCCACCGAAAAGTAAAAAACAGAGAAAAAACAGAAGACATATATTTGAAATGAAACGGAAAACATCAACTCACCGGGACTAAGTTGTACTTTTGAGAACAACACATGAAGTTCTCACTTAAAAGAGCAGAAGGATAAAGTCCGCCCCCCTCGCACTTTCTTTCCCCTCGGCTCTCATATACTCCCTCGGCGCCGCCGCCTCCCGGCCCGGCCAAGTCACGGCAAAGTCAAGTGCGGCGTTATTTCCATCTTTTTCCGTATCGGCGTCGTAGTGCAAACGAGGAGAGTAAAGTGGTGAAGAGACATGCGAACAATGCATTTATAGCAGAGTGTCATTCTTGCCTCGTCCGTTTCAACCAGTTGGTTGCAGTTGGAGAGAGAGAGAGAGAGAGAGAGGAGGGGGCAGCTAGGGAGAGATATTCCTAACAGACAACTCCTCCTACAATTCCTACTCTTTCTTTGGCAGGAAAAACCTAGACATCTTTCAATCAGAAAACGTTAGAAAAAGGGAAAAGTGCATCGCTGCATCGCTCAGTGATGAAGCGACTTAGAAAAACTCAATGAAGTCCTTTCTGACCTTCTGCGCTACAGGGGCGCTGCGATACGGGATACGGCAACGTTGTCATTACAGTGTTACTGCGGGGCTTCTGGACAGTTGTCACCATGGTATATAACACGCACATCATAATCAGCAAACCCAGCACCGACTCTTTTTTTAAACACACCGGTTTAACCTCTAAGTCCTACCTTCTGGGTTAACATTTTAGTGGTTTGAAAGGGAGCTTTTCATTATTGAAGATGAAACATATTCAGTCATGCGCTGCAGTTAAGTGTGTGTTTTAGTCCTGCTAGAACTGGATAATTTATGGCATTTCCAGAATAGAATTCTCACTGGGAGTGTGTTTTCTGAATGGGGAGTTCCTGTTTTTAAAGTTCACGTTTACTACACTGGTATCTATGCATCGAAGTACAAATAAAAAGCAGATGGAGTTTATCTTTTTTTTGTTATTAATATGGATACTGTGTTCCTCCTCTGAATATGACTCTCAAAATAATTCCCTGTAGATCCATCATACATAGAAATGCAAATGCACCTAAAATGACTACTGCCAACACAGCAGAAGCATGACAGACCGCAATGACTCCGGCTGCGGTTTAAGCTTTTCTTATGTAATTCTATCATCCAAACCAACCTGCGGGTCACTTCCCAAACAAATGGCCTGTTACCTCACCAGCTTTTCTGCTTCAGAGAAGAAGTTAACTCATCTCTGTGTACACTGATTACAGTCGGTCCACTGTGGTTTAATCTCAGAGAGAAGCGGGGGGGGGGGTTGTTTTTTTCTGGAAGGTAGAGCATGCTTCAGTACGCATGCAAATGCACCAGGCTTGCTGTCTCAGGACATCACATTTGCATTAAGGGTACAATTGATTCATGATAATATGCACACCCCAACCCTGATGATGAAACTGTTTACCACCCCCTGTTGGCCACAAGTGGTATCTGCACTTGTGGGGGGGTGGGAGGGCCCAAAGTGTCTTTTTAAATGTGGCCCTAGAAACAAAATAAAATGAACATAACATCCCCCATCTCTCTTCCTCCTTGTTTTTTTCTACTCCATCCATCCTAGGCAGCACAGGCCACAAAACAGTTGGACATCCAGGATATGATGCCTATTGATCTAGTATATTCTCTGTTAACTGTGATCGCTCATTGACACGGAGTTATGACCACGTGACCCCCGCAGTCATCTCGAAATAGAAGCACTATAGCCATATTTTTCCTTTAAAAAGAAGCAAATTGTTGACTGATTGCCATTTGCAGGTGTTTGCCAATTAATCATTGTGCTATGAAATACTAATCAATGTAAGTTGGAGTGAGACAGAACACGTTTGCTTGTATTTAGTGAAAAGAACTTAAATATATTGTTATACATGTTCATACAAATACACCAAACCAAGCCAATATTAATAAAGAACCATGGAATTAACAGAATTGTCAGTTGTTAAACTCTGTCATAAACAACCCACATACGCTGCAGTTGCTGTGAAAGTCGTACAGAGCATCCTCCATCTTCCTGCGATGTCCTCTTTCAGCTGTTTTAATGCCAAATGAAGAGGTTTTGCTCTCAGTCCTTCAGAAGCTGGAGTTATTCCCACAGGGTCTCCCGTACAAACGTGTATTAGGTGAGAAGGAGCAACAAAATAGGTAAACGCTAAATATTTCTCATTAATGGTTATGAACTTACATATCTAAATGATGACATAATATGAGAAAGACTGAAGGTTGATAAAGACATACTCAGCAACTGACAGCAATGAATCAAGTCAAATCTGAAGCGTGTAGAAAGGATGGATTGTGTTGTGGGATCTAACTGTACGTAAAGAATGCCTCTCTCCTTACTCCAGATCATACTCTTTCACCTTTCTGACACGAGTTACATAAGAAATGCTTGTTGACTACCACTTCTCTGGGAACGAGAAGGATCTGGCCCCTTCCGATGAGATGTTTGCACAAGTCTGCAACTTGAGAAGTCCATGGATGTATGGACTCGTCCATGTGATTAGACTGGAGATTACAAAGTATCATTACTGGGGTCTTTGCATAATCCTTTAGGAATAAGCATTATAAAATAGTGCGGTCACATATCAAGAAATCACAATTTTACCTATAACCCTGTTACTATTTTAATGTGGTTTTCTACATATAGTTATTTTAAGCCTACCTTTTCTCTAATTAAACTTTTTTCATGTGACAATATAAAGATTTATGTGATGGTTATTGCTTCCAAACCTTAAAAGACAGATTCTCTAAAATGCAAATTTCGCAGCAACATTCTTTTATGTACGATTTTGAAACAGGTTTTTCCTGGACAACAAAAATGTTTTTGAATCCCTGTCCAAATAACCTTCCCCCGCCTTTCCCCCACAAACTTCTTAAGATTAACGGATGTGTCATAGATGTTGAAAGGGGTGCATTGCAAGAATATTTTCAGACTGTTGTGAATAAAATGTTTTTGCGGAATAGGGCAAGGAAGTATCACATAAATGGAAATGAATGAGGGACACTTCACAATGGTCTAAATCAGGGGTGGGCAATCTTATCCAGAAAGGACCGTTGTGAATGCAGGTTTTCGCTGTAAATCCCTAATTAGATTATAAATCAGAGGACTGATTTGCTGAAGAGCCTTCACATCTGGGTTTGAACAGCTGACCTACAGTTTAAACGAAAAACCTTCACACACACTTGCCCTTTTGCGGATAAGGTTGCCCACCTCTGGTTAAATCCTACAATGCTTTTAAAAAAAATCTCTATTCAAGTATAAAAAGTATAAACCTATTTTCATTTCTTTCAGACTTTGGAGTCTGCCCTATGCTATACATGATGTTTCCAAAGCCTCAGGTGTCAGCTTCTCTATGATCTTCTCAGACTACGTTCTCCAAGGTTCAGGAAGAGCAAATTCACTGGCTAAAACTCACAGGAACATCTTGCATCTCTGTTTTTGTTGCCAGCCAGGTTGTTAGCACTGTGCACACCTGCTTTCCAAAAGATTGCAGGAGAGCAAAGGATGCTGGGTAGAAGCTGGACAGGAAAAGGAGAGCAGGAAAGCAGCTTTAATGGGGAGGGGATGTGGGTTGTGGGGCTGTGTGTGTGTGTGGGGGGGGTGTTATTCGTTAGCAGTTATTGTAGGGTTCAGCTGGGGTGACTGTGCTTTTGCGGTCTGTCTGAACTTCAGAGGAACCAAGAGGCCGGGCTGTATGGTCAGCAGTCGTAAAAGGGCAGTGATTGGTGCAGTGCTAGAGGGGATAATAAAAGGCCTCTGATTGGTCAGAGTGGTCATACCCTTTATTCCCATTCGATGATGTGGGTCTTTAGGGCTATTGATGGAAGTGTCATGGTAGGTGTACTGTGGGGGGAAACATAGCGTCTAACACACACACACACACACACACACACACACACAGACACACTGGGCTGGCATGTGTGTCACGCTGAGCTCTAACACATGTCCTATACACAGGCACGCATGGACTTTCACATGAATGGATGAGGCGGTAACAGTAAGGGGTGGGGGGAGGGGGGGGGGGAATCCCCATCATTTCAAAAAGAGCTCTTCACCAGAGGACCATATGGACTGACTTCCTCCCTCCACAGTGCTCACATTAAATAACATCGCCATGTATGCACATACACTGGGACAGCACGGCAGATTATGCACAGACATGAAGCAGAACCTACCGCTTCCTGCCAGTCACGCGGTTACACAAACACCCGACTGGGCCACTTATACTGCAGGGTCAGCCTTTCAGTGGTTCTGTGTAGGTGCATTGAAGTAAAGATGTTTGCCTTACCACATCTAACAGAAAACACCCACATCACAGGTAAATGTTCAAATTTTCTGGAGTTTATGTACCTTTGGAGTGATTAAGGTGACAGATATATATGAATGATGTATACAGTACCAGTCAAAAGTGTGATAGTGCAACATCGTATGACCTAACCTCAACACAGTAGGAATGGTTTTGGAGGAGTTTGACCAGAGAGTGAAGGAAAAGCGGCCAATGAGTGCTCAGCATATCTGGGACCTCCTTCAGATCAGCTGGAAAAGCATCCCAGGAGGCCACTTCATTGAACTGGTGCAGGGGAGACAGTAGGGTCACAAAGAAACCTTTTTATGGGTATGTGTGTCCAAACTTTTGACTGGTACTGGAACTTTGGTACAGACTAGGGGTGGAGCCGAACCCGAATACGGTATTCGGAAAGGCACAAATAATGTGTTTTTTACGAATACTTATTTCG